TTTATACATTGGTAATAAAGACAGTGATCAAAGCATTTAAATTGCTTCTTTCTTATACAGCCTAATGCTTTTGAAGCAGCAAAATGCTAAATAGATACCATTACTCCTAAATTAAGATTGATCTCTCGGGATAAAGACAAATGGTTTTGGACTAATAATTAATTGTAAGGTCTCATTTGCTCCAATTCAGATCAGTCTAAAAATATTTAAGTTGTTATAAGATGGAGATAAACAGTGAGTTACAGAAGCAGAGAACATTACAAATCTGTAAATATTGTGCAACTTCATTTCATTTCCTAGCTCACAATATCCACATTTGTTTATACAAAAGGTTTACATACACAACTAACACTAAATATGTGTAGCTATTTAAAAATAGACACCATAAAACAATGCACTGTGATAGATGCTAGCTTTGAAAAAGCCCCATATGGATCCTAGTGGGTTGTACCATGCAGAAGAGCATGTGGCACATTTACGTCTGAAATTTGCATTTAGTTCATGTGGTTTAAAGTGAAAACATGAATCACTGCCCTCAGGGGATTTTGTATTTTCTGAAGTCACTGATAATGTGAGGGTTATTTAAAGGGACTCGGGCTGCACTGGTTTGGATTAACCAATGTTTCGATATTTAGAGAATCCATTTCCAAGCTCAGCAGATGCTGTTTACTCTTGAAGCTGCTCTGTTAGTATAAGCAGCAGGACAAGAGGAGAGACTTCATTGGTCTTCCACGTTATCTGCCTGGAGGACCTGATTAAACAGGAAGAGAATGGCTCTTGATACTTCGGCCTTGCACTGGCAGAGGAAGGAAGGATTGCAGGCGACCCACACACTGGCAAAATATCCAGGAGCTTTACTACACTGGTTGCATACATATGAAATGCATATTGCTTTCATATAATAGCTACAACACAGCCTTTGCAACACAAAAGGCTAAACTACTGCAGTTCTGCCAGTTTTATTGCAATTTCAAGTGAAATAATACAGAAATAATTCACGTTTTATGATTAGTGCCGCTGCACAGCTATGATCTGAGGAGGATTCTCTTCAAGTGAAACATCCCTCAGGCTATCAAATAAACAGAGCTCAGCAGCATCAACAAATAACAAAAAACAAGCAAGAAAACTAATTTATCATCTTATATTCTTTTTCCTGGGGAAAGATTTCATTCTGATAGTCCGCAGTTATCACCTGAAAACAACAAGATGCTAATTTCTATTAATAACATTGTCAGCCACCATTCAGTTCAGATTATGACAAGTGATTGTTGATGTCTGCCTACGGGACATTTGATGAAGCTTCAAACTCAATGTGATTGCCCCCCCAAAAATGTAAATTACGTCATTACAGAATATAGTCTGAATTAATAATATCAAGCACTCAGTACTAAGAATTTTAATTCGTCTACCTCAACTGATCACTGCAATGTGCGGATCAAACCTCTGTTTGATTTCCTCCCATACTTTAGTCTGAACTAAAGTTTAAAGTACTGGAATAGATTACAATCCTAATCCCATATCATAGAATTGTTCAGTGTTTGAGGTTCGGATTTTCAAAGGTTGCAGGTTTGATTCCCACAGCAACTAGTATGTTCGCCCACAATGTTGGAATGTTCTCTTTGAACAAGAGACTGAAGTACAAGCTGCTCACTCTACTGCTCACACACTACTGTGTACGGCAGCTAAATAATAAATAGCTCAGTGTCGTATTAAGCAATGCAGACTGCCCAGAGGAGTGTTTTGCTGATTTAATGTTCATCACATTGCTTTAATAATTCCAAATATTTTGTATTTAAAATAGCACCTCACATTTATTAATAGATTGTCATTTTGTCTAATGGTGCTAGTAAAAAGATAGTGACTGGACAGTGGAGGTAATAAAAATATTAATGCGGGATCCTGCAGCATATAAAGCACAGTTTAAACAGGTAGTGTACAAACTCTGAATGCTTCAATTTGTTTACAGAGAATCTGTTGATTTGATCTACTGGCATTCATAATGATCTGAGGATAACTCTAAAGTGGTTAATACACTGCTCATGTATAGACAAGTTTTCACTACCTTTAACTTTCTTCAGCCAAGAACATGGGTTCAAGATACTTATTTTGTCTCATTAAATGCTACAAGGAACAAGGAAACTGGCAGTTTCTTCCCTGTGTGATTCACTAGTTTAATGTTAACTTTGCCTCAAGTATGGGTACGGTTAAATAAGTTATTTTGTAATGTCAGCTTACCACCAATAAATCAGGCAGGATGAAAGTAGGTTACATGAAAAAAAAAACAGCCACCAGTGGACCGCTCTGCACTAACACTGCCCATGTTCTGTCCGATATTAGCTAATGTAAATTATGAACACACAGAGGGCAGTAATGAACACGCAAAGTCTAACTCAAACAGAAAATCATCAAACGCACTCGCTACTCTGTCTGGATGAAAGTAGTACTTTGAGAAGTGGAGCGGGTATATCGCAATGCTAAGCAATCATAATCTGCATTGCAATTGCAAGAGGTTTCATCACCATGATTCACTCCCTGTTGCAAAAAAGCGGGAGAAAAACTATATTGATCTTTTTCTCCTTTCCTTCCAGGCATTCCCATTTCCCCATGCAGCTTAAGCAGCACTTTTGTGGACAAATCCCACATTTGTGTTCCTTTCTTGAGGCTATTAATGGTGCTGAATAGGCGTAACTACTCCCAAGGCACAGCTGTGTTGGCCAGACAGAGGGGTTGGTGGCCAGACTGTACACTAAAGTCTTGCCTTGTGTTTCATCAACCTCACATATCCTCTTCCACCTCCTCCTACCACCACCTGCCTGTTCCCAGCATCGCCACTGGGTATGAGTTGTGCGCTGGATTCACCTCTGTGGCATCCAGCCTTATTTCATCTTCGCTACCACAATGCAAGAGGCGATAAATCTCAGAGCTGATCTCCGCCACTCCCTGCCTCCATCCACACACCACCGCCATCCCCATTGGGGTCTTATATGGGCCCTCATCTGTTCTTGTTACCTGCAGAGAAAGGCAGAGATGGGCATTACGCTTTATTGAGAAGCTGAGCTTCTGATGTGGCTGGCCTGTCTGCAAAACACACTTCAGTGCCCTGCTCGCATGAGGAGAGATGATGAAATAAGTTGAATATCGGCGCAAGCGTGGGGAACTTCTATCTGTTAAGCCCTGCCTGTGTACGCTCAACAGTTTCCAAGGTGACTTTTCCAATTGCACAGAGATTCTCTGTGGGTAATTCATTACCTGCCCTCCATAAGCGTGCACTCTAATAGGCGGTAAATTTCATCAGGGAAACAAGAGCATCTGCCAGCTCCAAAATACAAGGAGAGAAGTGTTTCATTGTATTAAATAATGTCATAAAATAGCTGCTTATCTATAGGATGAAAAAAATACAATCTTACACCAACAATTTATCTCAAACAACACAAAAACAAGGTGGTGTCATCAACTAGCCATAATCCCACAATTACACATGACCCAATTTAAATAAGTCACCAGTTCCAATATAAACAGCGCAGGCTTAATATATTGCTTATCGTGCATTTTTTCACATGGTTTTGACATCGCACTTGACACCTAAGCACTTAGTCTAAATGTACTCACACCCTGTTTGTTGGTAACATCATGACAGCGCGGCAATAAAGCGCACAGTCCCGGCTGCATGTAGATGAGAGACTATTGATAAATGCATGATGGTGATCACTTGATGCTCATGACTTGATGACTGACTCGCGGGGACAGATCAGCACCGCTTCGATCCATCTCCCCGGTGATAAACATCGACCCTTATCCACCGAGCAGACCTTTGTCCGGTGGTGCCATATTTCGGGGTGGATTCTGCTCCCGTCTTAAATACATCATTGTGATGATTCAGCATGATGAGATAAAAAAAATAAAAAAAAGCACCGCCGCTTGTTGCTCGGCTGTGATGATAAGATAACACTGCGCGTAATTACCTGGTTGTGATATTAAAAGCCAAGGACGGAGGGGGTTGGTTTGCCATTGTTGCAGTTTAACCATGAATTGTCACTTCAGGTGATCAATTCAGTAGGAGACGATGGGTTAGATGCATTTCCTAAACTGATTTTAGATTTTTGCATGCGTTGTGAAGCTGCACAAAAAAAGCACAACCCGTTGCTTCAGCTTTGATAATCAATTTTCAAAATACATGTTGCGACCAACCTGATCTCGGCTTAAGCGCAGCCTCGACTCGCTCTCGCTCCCTTTTCCCAAGGAGGTGATGAAGCAGCAGGTTTAAACGGCGGGAGGCGCATGAGTTGACGGACCCGCGGAGAGGAGCCGTGACACCGCGCGGACGCGAGACGAGACGCCCGGGCTCCGGCACAAAGGCGAACCCCCCGGTCACACAGCCGGTGACATTCCGCGACTCTTCCGTGTCTCGTCCTCCGCCACCACGACCACCACCACCGCCGCCCCTCTGCCTTGTGAGAGTGGCAAACAACTCCCCGCCTACAACAACAAGCGAGCGAGGAAATCCCCGTGCTCAGCCGTCCTCACTACACCGCGGGTGACTCCTCAAACTGGGGAACCGCGCGTCACGGCGGGCCACCCCTCCACAACAAACCCCCCCCC